GCGGGCCGCAACCGCAGATCAAAAAAGTATCCCCACGACAGCCAACCCGCTCGCTGGAGGCGGGGGGTCGGCCACTGCATCCCCCCGCCTGCTTGGCGGCGGGCTCGACCTAGCCAGGTCGCAGTTTTGGCAACTACAGACTTGGGCGGCGGTTAGCTGCGACCCTGGAGGACCAACACCCACCATCCCCGTAGAGGTCACTCAGTCTCCGCGATGACAGACCAACGTCCAGCACGGCCTGAGGTCCACGTTGGACCCCAGCCTCCCTCGGCCTTGACAACCTTTGAAGGACCCACCCACCGTTAGTTTGTCTTGAGCGGCGGTTAGCTGCGACCCTGGAGGACCCAATAGAAGTACCATTTTCCCTGTCCCGCGGGCTCGGGGCCAGGCCGAGGGGATGGGCGGCGCTTCCCCCCGCCTCTCCCCTCTGGGGCCAGGCGGGTGTCCCCCGCCGCTGGCCCCGGGGCCCGCCAGGAGTACTGTCAGACGCCGGTGTTGTTGCCCCCCCCCTCCCAGGGCCGCCCGTGTCCCTCGCTGTTCGTGGTTTGACTCATCACTCTCAGCGGCGGTTAGCTGCGACCCTGGAAGACACCGTGGTGTGTGTGTTGGCGTTCCCATGGTCTTGGGTGGAAGTGCCAAGAGGCGGACTGGGTCAGGACTTTGCGCCCGTTGGCCCTCGTGGCTACCACAGTGCAGCTTCCCCAGGCGCATCGCCCTTTGGCATCGGCACGCCTCGCTCGCACAGGCGCCACGTGCGCCGGGAGGTACAGCCCGTTCTGTTCTCTTGGGGATTCACCTGCCCCTGGTCTAGTTTCGCCTTCAGGGCAACACTACCACCAGTGCAGCTCCCTCTACTCTTCCCCGCTGGCGATGCTGACCACGCCGGTTGGATCCCCCCCCCACTCAGAGGCCTGACGCCGTGCCGGCACGCACTGCGTGGATCACAGTCGCTCGGCTCCTCCTTGCGCTGTGGGGTGGTCTGACAGGTATTGGCTTCGATACCGAGTGGTTCAGCCTTCCGCAGCAGGTACAGCATTCCAGGCTCCCCTTCAGCTTTCCCCAGTTGCGTTGCACCACGGCTCACGACAGCTCAGCCCTGGCTAGCTCAAGTCGTCAGGGCGTTTGGAGCCTGGCGCCCCACTGGCGACTCACTCCAATGGCTTCCCACTGGCCCCAACTCAGCATGACGGACTTGACCATCCTGGTTCACGTCTCTACTGTGTGGGTCGTGCCATGGCAAGCACCGAATTCCGTGACACTTTGTCCTGTGCGCGTGCTCGGGCTCTCAGGATGCGGTCCGCCGTCAGCTCCCCCTTTACGCTTCGCGGCTGCTTTGGCCGGCCTGTGCCTGTTGTAGCTAATTAGCCTCGTTCGCGTCCCGGACTTTGCGCTTCATGCCGCCTGACCGTTGTCTCGCGGCCGCGACCAAAAAAATATCCCCACCAGCCGATCCAGAAACGATCAGCAGGGGAGTTGGTTAATCAGGGGCGGCAGGATGCATGCAGTCGCGCAGCCGTCTTCGAGAAAACAAGGATCACACATAGCTTTCCGCATTGAAGTTTAAGATGGGAACCGGTGCAAGCTACAATGGTGCTTCGATGAGGGGTGAGGGGTGTTTCGATGACTCGTAATGGCTGTTGCACTGATTTGTGTCTTAAACTCGCGTGCGTTCCGAAACTTGGAAGCATCTTGGGGCTCTCTTGGGATTCTCTTGGGCCCCTCTTCGGGCCTCCTGGGGCTCTTTCTTGGGGCTCTCCTGAGGTTCTCTTAGGGCCTTCTTGGAGCTTCTTGGGGCTCTTGTGGGGCATCTTGGGGCTCTATTGGGGCTCTTTGGGGGGGTCTAGGGGCCTTCTTGGGGCTCTTTTGGGATGCCTGGGTGGCCTCTTGGGGCCGTTTTGGCCCTTATGGCTAAAAAAGGGGGGGGGGCCTCAATTATTGTCCCCCCCTCGGAGGCTCAAAAATACCGTCTTGGGACCCTCTTGGCCCGCTCTTGGAGCGCTATTGGGCGCTCTTGGGGCCGTCTGGGGGCTCTGTTGGGCCCCTATTGGGGCTGTCTTGGGCCATCTTGGGGCCATCTTGAGGCCTCAAGAGCCTTTCGGAGGCGAAAAAGCAAAAAGGAAAAACACATTGATTTTCCTTATGTTTTTGAAGGAATTCTAGACGCTTCGCGTATCCCCACCAGCCCGTCCAGAAACGACGCCCAGGCGAGTAGAGGGTCGTCCTGAGGGGCTTTTCGGCGTCTTGGGTGCCTCGGGGGGGCTTCTGTGGGCCGTTCGGGATCCTCTTTGGGGCCTCCTGGGGGCCTCTTGGGGCCTCTTGGGGCCATCTTGGGGCCTTTGGGGGCCTCCTGGGCGCTTCTTGGGGCCATCTTTGCCCCTTGGTGCCTCTGGGGGGTCTCTTGGGGCCTCTTGGGGGTCCTTGGGGGCCTCCTGGGGGCCTCTTGGGGGGCCTCTTGGGGCCATCTTGGGGCCATCCTGCGGCCTCTTGGGGCATCCTGGGGGCCTCTTGCGGCCATCGTGGAGGAAATCGATCAAAGAAGAGGGGAGCTCTAATTAGCGCTGCCCCCTCAGAAGGCCAAAATGGGGCCAAAACCATAGTAAAATCAATGATTTTGGCTTCCTCGCCGAGGCCGTTTTGGACGCTCTGACCGCTCCCCGCCCCTCCTGTCCAGGTCAGTGGGGAGGGGGTAGGGGGAGGGGTAAACCCCTCCCCGAAGGGGAAGAGGGAGGGGTGGAAGAGGAAACGCCCGAAACCACCGACGCCCAGAGGGCTGGTGGGATTTTGGAGGACATCGGCCAAGGAAGTGGGGTTCCCTAATTACAGCCCCCCCCCAGGAGCTCCAAAAATCGCTTCCTGGACCCCTCTTGGATCGCTCTTGGAGCGCTCGTGGCCGCTCTTGGAGCCATCCTGAGGCTCTCTTGGGCCCCTCTTGGAGCTATCTTGAGCCATCTTGGAGCCAGCTTGACGCGTCGGATGTGCATCGCAAGGGAAAAAGTGAGAACACCAAAAACATTGATTTTCCATAGGGTTTTGAAGCATTTTGGCTTCTTGGATGCATCCTAATGATGCTCTTGTGGGCACTTGGAACCGTCTTGGGGAGTTCTTGGAGCGTCTTGGAACATCATGGGGACCATCTTGAGGCATCTTGCGCTATCTTGAGCCATCTTGGAGGTCATCTTGAGCTCCCTGAGGCACTCTTGGGGCCGTGTTGGGCCGTCTTGGACGCTCTAACTACCCGCGGCCCCCCCTGTCCAGGTCAGTGGGGAGGGGGTAGGGGGAGGGGTAAACCCCTCCCCGAAGGGGAAGAAGGAGGGGTGGAAGAGGAAACGCTCTAAACCACCGACGCCCAGAGGGCTGGTGGGATTTTGCCTCTTGGGGGGGTCCTTGGAGGCCTCGGAGGGCACTTGAAACCGTCTTGGGGCGGAGCCATCTTGGGCCATCTTGGACGCTGCTATGGGTCCGTCCCCCCCCCGTCCAAACGCAGGGAGGGGGGGGAGGTAAACCTCCCGAGCAGGGAAAGGCAGGAGGTTGGAAAGGGAAACGCCCTAGACCACCTGCGCCCAGAGGGCTGGTGGGATTACGACGTTCGTCATTGTCGGTTTTTGCTAGCACGCTTGAAATGAAAGGCCCAGGGTGAGAGAGGCAACGGCTGGCATGTTGGAGAAGGAGACCCTGGAAAAACTTGAAACGGCGACGGCGACGACGACGACGACGACGAGGAGACGACAACTGAAACAGCGACGAGTGAAAGAGCTCTTTCCACACGCCGACAGGGTCGGCGGATGTTCTTTTGGTTTTTCAATGGTTTTAGCGTTCTCGCCTTTCCAGATTCTCAGAAGCCCATGACGTCCCAAGCGGCCTCCAAGATGGCCCCCAAACGTCCCCAGAAGCCCCCAGGATGGGCCCAAGAGGGCCCCTATGTGCGGTCGGCCTCCCGTATCTTTTGGCACTGCGCGCCGCCGCCGACGACTGTAACTCGTCAGTCGTCGTCGACCTCGTCGATCGTCGACCGTCGACCGCTGGCCGTCGGCCGTCCACCGTCGATGGTCGTTCGTCGCGGCCGCCGCCGCCCGACGTCGCCGGTCGTCGATCGGTCGACTGTTGACCGCCGATCGTTCATCGTCTTTCATCGTCGTCCGCGTCATTGTTCGTCGTTCGTCGCCGTCGCCGTCGCCACAGCCTCCGCCGGCGCCGTCGTAATTGTCATTGTCGTCGTCGTTGTCGTCGTCGTTGTCGTCGTGGTCGTTGTCGTTGCCAGCGTCGTCGTCGTCGTCGAGATTTTCTGACGTTTGGCTCTTTCTGGGTCTCCTGGTGTCCAGGGACACAGGGTTACATGGCTTTGGGCAGATGCGATAAACAAGTCGGAGGGTATCATTACAGGCATCTCAAAGTGATGTCGAGTCTCTAAACTAGGTTGCTTTTGACCGTTTTGAGGCGAAAGTTATTTGGGGACTGATTAACAGTGGCGTTTGCTAGTGGTTTCAGTCGCAATGTCGAGCCTCGCGTGATCCTGCTTCGGCTTCTGCGAGGCTCGGGCTTCTGTGATATGAACGTGGGGCACTGTAAGAGGCGCAGGAGGAGAAGAACGAGCGGAGGGCGTGGAGGAGGATGAGCTGGGTGGAAAGCGCAACGGGCCCCCCCAGGTCGAGGAACACCTGTCGTATGGCCGCCCGTTTCAGCACCTGCGCCTGTGCCCCTTGAAACATGGTACAGCAGAAACATCTTGCATGCCGACGTTTGCCCCATTGGCTCTCTGGCTCCGCCGCCGGCAGCGAGGGAAAGCGAGAACAACCGAAAACGAGAAACGCCGTTCCGCTCGAGCCCTGCGATGGAACATTGGAGACTCGATCGAGCCTCGAGCCTCTGTAGGGATCTGGTCGAGGCTGGAAGCTCAATTGCTCGAGGACTTCGAGCCCCCGTCGATCGAGCTTCGAGCCTCCGTCGATCGAGCCTCGGGCCTCGATCGAGCTCCGCGCGCCGCTGCGCGCCTGGGCGCCGAGGCGTGAACTTCGAGGATGCCGGCTCCACCCGGTGCAGCGAGTCGCACTCGACCGGGTCCAAGAAGAGCCCTCGGACCAGCACTGCGGCGTCGGCCGAGGCCGTGAGGGGGGCGGGAAGCCCTCGAGGCAGTTCTTTCAATCGCTCCTTCCGCCGGCCCGCACCTCATCACCGCAGGTGCGTGGGGAGGGGAGGGTTGAGGGGGTGAGGGGAGGGGAGGAGAGAGGGGAGGGGGGAGGGGAAGCATTAAAAGGTCGTGGCATGGGGTCGAGCGGCATCTGAACATCTAATAAACATCATTTTACCTTTTGGGAGCTCTCGTGGGAGTCCTCCAGGGACCTATCTACTTTTTTATCCTCTTCAATCCTTCCCCTCTTCCGACGACGAACACAACCACCGCGACCTCGACCATGAGTCGCAACGACGACGACGATCTCGACGACGACAATGACCACGACGACGGCATGAACGACGAAAGAGACGACGACGACGACGACGATATCCAGGTCACCCCAAGGGGCGCGAAGATAGTCGCGCCTGGCGCGTCGCGGCCTTGGCAGGATGGCTGCTCTCCTCGAGTGGCCGGCGCGGAGGGCGCAGAGACCACTGCCTGGCTGCGCACCGCGGAGCGTGCTGTGCAAAGCTGGGTGTAGAGCTGCAAGCCGACTGGCAACGCTCCGCCTGTTCCTCCTCCTCCTCCTCCTCCTCCTCCTCCTCCTCCTCCTCCTTGAGGAGCTGGGTGTTCAGCGCAAGTGCCCCCATACGGCTCAGAGCCGGCAATGTGCGAGCATCTGGCCGAAGCATCGGTCGATTTCCGATCATGTGTGGATGCTGCGGTTGGCGTTCTTGGGGGGATTTGCGGATTTCGGCAGGATCTTGAACCAGAGGCTTTTCGGCATATTTTCGGAAGATTTCTTGGCTCAAGACTTGCTCGATCAGGGTTCACCCCTGGCCAGAGACCTCACCCCGCTCCTCGCAAGATACCTCCAGCTTTGTACACTGCCGAGGGATGATGATGATGATGATGATGCCGGAGAGCGCCGCGTACGGGCAGCCCGTGCCTTGTGTCTGCGGCGGAGCGGCCGCCCACGCCGTGCTGGGGAGCCGCCCACGGGTGCACCAGCCACCCCCGGCGCAGCAGCTACCAGCCCCCGTGGTCGTGTGGGTGCCGATGGGGTGCTGCCCCCAGCCCCCCTGCTGCCCGCCGCCCACAGCGCCGGCGGGGCCACGGGCACCCGACGTGTGGAGCCTGGCGCGCTGCGAGAGCGACGGGTCCCAGGCCTCGGCGACCGACTCCGTGGCCTCTACGGCGGACCTCCGGTGGGAGCCCGTGTGCGGCGGGCGGGCGCCGAGGTGGAGGAGCGCGGCGGGCAGCCGGGCGCTGCAGGCTGCCCTTGGCGAGGCCGCCAGCGACCAGGAGAGGGTGCGCGTAACAATAGCCCTTCGCCAGAGTGACCTTTTTGGTGTGGGCACACGGTGGTCCCCCCAGCTTTTGCTTTCGCGCTTGCATCTGGCCCCCCCCCCCCCCGCGGCCCCCCACTGCCGCGCACCAGAGGCCACTCTTGCTTAGGGTCACTCCTGCGTGTAACTATCCGAGAGGAGAGGGTGCGGCTCGCCGATGAGCTGCGCGGGCGCGTCTGGGAGGCGATTGGGTGCCCCAATGCCAACCACGCGCTCCAGAAGTGCATCGCGGTGCTCCCCCCCCAGGCCGCCCAGTTCGTCCTGGACGAGCTTGTGGCCGGACCCGACGGGCGCGGCGGCGGCGTCGGCAAGGCCGCGCGCCATCGATACGGTTGCCGCGTGCTCCAGAGGTTGGTGGAGCAGGGCCGCCCAGAGTGGTGCAGCGTGCTGCTGGGCGCGCTGGTGGCGGATACCGCGGAGCTCCTCGCGCACCCCTGGGGCCACTACGTCCTCGAGCACCTGCTGGAGCACGCGCCCCGCGAGGAGCGTCGCCAGCTCCACCGCGCGGTGGAGCAGAACGTGGGCCTGGCCGCCGCCAAGCCCTGCGCGCGCGCAGTGGTCAGCAAGGCGGTCGCCCACGCGGAGGGCGAGGACGCGGCCGCCCTCGCCCGCGCGCTCTGCGCCCAGCGCGGCCTCCTGTCCGGCATGGCGTGCACCCGCCACGGGCAGGAGGGCGTACTCCACCTCGTGAGGGGCCTCGCGGGGCCCGAGGGTCAGGATCGAGGATCAAATAGTAATGTTAGCATAAGCTTTCGAGGGACAAATCATAACACAAACATGAACTTTCGGGGGCCTGCGCGGATTTCTCGGATCGGCGCTGGGCCCCACCTGGCGGCGCCTCCGGCGCCTCCCCTGGCGCGCTCCGCGCCCTAGGGACGGGGGTCAGCGCCGACCCAAGAAATCCGCGCAGACCTTCGAAAGGTTTGAGGTTATGTCATTCAGTGTCTGCTCCTCCACAGGAGGTCCGCCGGCAGCTGATGGAGGAGGCGGACGTCTTCCAGCACACGCGCTTCGGGCGCGCCGTCAAGGCGGCGCTGGAGGAAGCCTGAGGCTCTGCGTCCCGAGCGTCGGGCGGCGGCGCCCCACCGTCCTATGTGCAGTGGGCGCCCTCGGCCGTATCTTTTTTTTTTGCTGTACAGTGTGCACAAGCAGCAAGAATGAGAAAGCCCAGGGTTCGCTCGGGACTGGTTTCCCCCCACAACGACGAGAACCCTGTGTAAAACCCTCCCCAAACCCTCCGAAAACCTTCCCGGAGCCCTTCCCGGAGGTCTTTCGGATGGTCTCGGGATGGGTTCGAAAGGAAACCAGTCCCTAGCTAACCTGGGATTTTCTGAAGCAAGAAAGCTCTGCCCAGATGTGGCAGAGGCTGCCCGCAGGTGCTGCTCGGAGCACCGCGCGATCCGGCGCGGCGGACGGGCCATGAGTCGCCCGCCGCCCAGCCCATTCTGTGACGCCCGCCGGAGTCTGCCGGGGCCTCGCCGCATCACAGCCGCCCCGCCAGAGAGCGTGGCGCCGAGGTGCGCTGGCCCGTGCTCGCAGCCCGTGCGCGCACTTCGGCCGACGCCCATGTCACCGCCTCCAGCTTGCATCTGGGGGCGGCCTGTCGTCGCCGCGCGCCGTGCATGCTTTTGCCGCTGGTGTCAATGGGAGAGAAGGCGCCCGCGGACGAGCGGCCGCCAGCCAGTGGGAAAAAGACAAGATGCCGGCAAGATCGTCGCTCGAGATGGGTGCGAGACCCTCGCGACCTCCCCGCGCTTGCCGTCCCTTTCGCCGCATTTTCGATGCGTGTGGATGCTGCGGTCGGCGTTTCGGGGGAAACGCGTAGCTTTCGGCAAGGTCTTTGCTCCAGATGGGCTCGAGGCCCTCGCGTTCTCTCCCCGCGCTCGCCGCTCCCACCGCCCCCGCGTTTGTCACAGAGATGCCGCTGTCCTCAGGAGGGTAAATAGCTACATATGGGAAGCGGAGGGGCACAACAACATCCAAGACATTATGGAAACAATTGTCAGGATGTGGAGTGTCTCTCATCTGCCTGAACTTGTGCAGGTAGTGAACTCCACCTGAGATTCCCCGTGGACACTCCGGAAGAGCGCGTATGCTACAGTCGATCTCAATGTTCGTGCATGTTCTTGCCAAGCTTTTCAGTTTCACGCGCTTCCCGTTCATGTCAGGAACTGTTCCCAATAATGGGCGTTTCGCCTGAGGCATCCTCGCCCAATCGTGATTTTGGGGGGTCGTATCTTAAGACGTCTTACGCAAAACTTGAGCGTTTCGCCCTAGACATCCTCGGAACATGGGGATGCTTACATCGCTGTTCTAATCTTCGGACCGTCGAGATGGTCGTTTCGATGCGCCAAGAGCTCTGGTCGGGCACACATTTGGAGCGCTCTCGGATGACCTTCAGATGGCCCAAGAAGCGACATTATTGAAACAACCAATGCGTTTTCAACACAGTCGTTCAACCATCATCGTTTCGCTCGAGACACCCCTTAACAATGCCTTCGAACGGGTGCTCGAAACCATCAGATCATCATGGACATGCCGATGCAGTTTGGGGTATGTTAGCTTAGGGTTTGTAGGGTTAGGCTTCGAACATATGTAAGTAACTATTGTGCTTTTCAACATTCTGGGGCCGTGAACTTCACCTGATTTCCCCGTAGACGTTCGGGGAAAGCGCCTGCTCTACATTTGATCGTGTTGCTGGTTGTTGTCTTACCAAGTCCACTCGAGGCATGTTTTAATTCTTCACGCTTCGCGCATCCCCACCAGCCCATTCCAGAACAGCAACTTGTGCGAAGCATGCTGGCAGTCGTGGCTTTCGGGCGCACCTCCTCCTGCCCACGCATGTATCCTTCTACTTCTCTGGGTCTTTCGCTCTGGGAGGCTCTTGGAGGCATCTTGGGGGTATCCCGGGACCTTCTTGGGGATATGTTGGAGGTCTCTGGGCCCTTTTGGGGTTCCCGTGGTGCCTCTCGGGGCTTCCTTGGGGCTCCCTTCGGGCTCTCTTGGGGCGCTGTTGGGGCCCTCTTGGGGCTCTTTGGGGGGGTCTGGGAGGTCTCTTGGGGCCATCTTGGAGGCGATCGATCAAAACAGGGACGAGCACTTTTCTCGGTCCCCCCGTCGGGTCCCGAAACCCTATGAAATTACAGCATGCGGCGCCTTTTCGGCTGCCCATCTTGGACGCCCTGACGACCCGCGGAACGGCCTCTCCAGGTCCAGGGGGAGGGGGTAGGGGGAGGGGTCAAGTTACCCCCTCCCCGCCCGCAAGCCGTCTCGCTCACTCCCACCCGCCCTCCCAACACATAAGTAGCACCCGAGTCTGGCCCGAGCCTCAGCATATTCAGCAGTCGTCTGAGGATGGGCAGCTACTGGGGGCCAATCCGCCGCCGCCGCCGCCGCCGCCGCCGCCGCCGCCCGCCGCCGCCGCTGCCCGCCGCCGCCGCCGCCGCCGCCGCGCCGCCGCCGCCGCCGCCGCCGCCGCCGCCGCCGCCGCCGCCGCCGCCGCCGCTGCCGCCGCCGCCGCCGCCGCCGCCACCGCTGCCGCCGCCGCCCCGCCGCCGCCCGCCCCCCCCGCTGCCAAACCGCCGCCGCCGCCGCCGCCGCTGCCGCCACCGCCACCGCCGCAGCCGCCGCCGCCGCAGCCGCCGCAGCCGCCGCCGCCGCACCCGCCGCTGCCGCCGCCGCCGCCGCCGCAGCCGCCGCAGCCGCCGCCACCGCCGCCGCAGCCGCCGCCGCCGCCAAGTGTACTCTGTATTGTTGTTTGACAGGGATGGTGGGGGGGGGCTCATCGGGCTGGCTGCGCATTTTCCAAATATGGAGGCAGAGTATGTTTTGTATTGTTTTTTACAAGGGATGGTGGGGGGTGTCGTCATGGACCCTGGTTGGCCCCCAGTCGCCTGGGGGAGGGGGTGTTTATTAATAGGGAACAGTGATGAAACCCATTTTGGCTCAAGGTCAGATTCAGGTCAGATTCATATTCGGATTCCGCGGTTCCTGGTCAGCCCCAGGGCACCGCCTGCCTCCTTGCGGCCCGCAGGTGAGCAGTCTTCTTCTTATCGTACCCGCGCAGCCCTTCTGAGGATCATGGCTTCGAGTGCTTCTCATCCAGGTGGCCCCTCTCGCGCACACACACGCGCTCCGGGCACGCCAGTGGGAGTTGGAAAGGAACGTATTTTACGCAGACGCTTATTCAGTCCTTTGAACGAGATGGACGGCGACGCCGACGGCCCCGAGGTACACACACTTGCGACTCCTACCCCTGCGACTTCACCAGGAGCGCCCCCGCCAGCACGTGTAGCCGCACAGCAGGAGCAACGAGGACAGCAGCCACACCCACTGTCTTTGGACGAGATCGCCAAGATGTTCCGCAAGGAGGTGCAGCCTCTTCGCAACACCATCAGCAGCGTCGAGCGACGCCTTACTGACATGAACGGGATCATCGAAACCAGGTTCGAAGAGGCGGAGGAGCACATCGAAGACATTTCCATTCGCCTCACCAACCTCGAGAACCACCAAGACGCCGAGTTCGAGGATATCACCGCTCGGGTTGCCGCTCTTGACTCACATCCTTCGCGTGCTGATGCAGATTCTGCCGGAGCCGGCTCTGCACGCAGTATGGGTTCCGCAGTTGAGGAGAAACTCATTGAGCTCGAGCGCCAAATGGCGGGACTCACCACGGGCAAGCAGTTCGAATGCAATGCAGTAGTTGGGGGTCTCGGCAATTTCGATACCTTGCAGCACGCTGCCACATGGATAAACGAACGTGCTTTTCAGTTCGGAGCCCCTGAACCGTCCGATATCCTCATCAAAGGCGAGTCGTTCCAGCAGACGGCTTTCGCAAAGTTTGATTCCATGAGCGCCCGGGACAAATTTGTAAGCATTTCGGGGAGGGCACAGCTGAAACACCAAGAGAACATGATCTGGACACGTCCGGATCAGCCTTTGGAGAAGAGGGTGCCTGAGAGCTTCTTGTTCGGACTCCGGAGGACTTTTTTGGGGGTGGGGTTATTCCAAGAGTGAGGTGCGCGTGGACACGGTGGAACAGAAACTCAAAGTGGCTAAGGAACTAGTTTGTCATGCACATGTGGCCGGGACGGCTTTCGAAGTTGCTTGGGAAGGACCGTGGGCAGCCTGGGGCGACCGTCATCAACAGCCAGGAGGTGGC